CACAGGCCACATGGTGTGACCGCACCACAGGCCTGCCGCGTCCCACCTCACAAGTCACAAAGGGCAACCCTCTGTCAAGCACGCCATCGGTGCCACTCTTCTAAGAACAGACCTCACTTTGTGTCTCTGTCACATGTCACTCAGTCTCACAATAGTCAAACTCTTGCATGATGCTTTTACACACTTAACAGGGAACTCTGGTGGAGGACCCAAGTGCACGCGGTTCAAACCCACCAGCTGCTCCGTGGGACAAGGATGAGTAATCACCGCCCGTGCGATTAAGTGCCTCTGCAAACCGGGCACACTCAGCCGTGATGGGCCGGCTCTGACTCAAGAGTACTCGACAACAACATTCCATACTTAATAGACTACTCAAGACTCGAACTCGTGGCCGTGGAGTCAGAATCGGCTCAGCTGACGCTCCGGAGGGTTTCTGAGGCTCAAAATGCACACAGGACTTGTCTGCTCACCTTTCATCCTCAGAACCACCGGTGGATCTGAACCACCAGAGACACTGCCTTAGCACTAACAGCACAGCGCCCTACAGGCTGCACCACCAGAGCTCCCAGACAGAGAACAGCCTGTGTCACCGTGACTTTTACATGCACTAGGAACAAACGAGAAAGAACTCGCGGGACTGGCTTTGCTGGGACAGTGGCTTGACTGCAGTGGTCTGGAGCCAAATCCACAGCATCTTCGAGAACTACCTGCATATGAAACAAGTACCTCATAGTTACCCCTCTGGTGGGTTTTCAGACGCTGTCAGTCACACGAGAAGACACTGCCCATCTTTATTCCATGGCACAAATGGTGGATTTGAACTGCCTGCCTTTGGGTTTGCAGCACAACTCCCCACCACCAGGCCACCAGAGTGCCCAACCTGGATATGAAACACCAAAGAAAAAACATACTAAACCCATTACATCTTACATTTTAAAACTGTAGAGTTTATGGAACGTGTATTACAGAGGCCAGAGTGGGTGCAGTGAAGTTTCTCCAGGGAGGCTGGCCTGGGAGGGAGGAGACGGGAATTCTTCAGGAGTAAACAGCTTCCCATTCTCGGATCTGCAGGGCCTGCCAGGACCGGCCAGGACAGAGTGAGCAGCAGAGGGGTGTGAAACCAGCTCCCTTTGTGGAAGTTCGTGGAGTGGGTACATTAGGCCAAAGCCACCGAGGACTTCACAAGAAAAATTAGTCAGCACCTTTGGTTCGTACACTCCTGGGAGAATTAAAACCCCAAACACCCTTAGATTTTAAAAGTCCCTATTACCGGGAATACACTGGTATCCCATTGATTCCTGGGACTTTGCCAATGCCTTCGGTGCAGCTGGAACTTTCTCCTTCAATACCATCGATTATTGATCATATACTACCTCCTGAAGTATCACCCAGTTCTTTTTAGGGAAGGAGAGGAAGACTTTAATGAGATGGATTTACATGGTGACGCAGCAACGGGATTGAGTGTGTCAGAAATCAGGAGGAAGGCACAGGCTAGGACAGGTTCAGATCTGTGGTTCCGAGGGTTGCTATAGTCACACTCAACTTGATGGCACTTAAGAACAACAATTACTCGAAATAAGGGCAAAACAGAAATTTTACAAAACAAAAAACCCTATTCATTGCCAAAGCTACAGTATTTTACCAAAACTGGTCTGCCTCTGGGAGCTCTGGTGGGGTTCAAATCCACCAGAGGTTCTGCTGGAGAAGGAGGGGCAACCTCCTCCTGTGCCGGCTGGATCAACAACCACCACAACAAAAACAAAACCAACCTGGTCTGCCTCCTCTTTCTCTCTTGAAGCTGCTGGTGGATTGGAACCATTGACCTTTTGGTTAGTAGCCGAATGCATTAACCACAGCACCACCAGAGCTACTGCTGTTAAGTGTGTCGGGTCAGAACCAATTCCTGTCTGAGCCGCTGGTGGTTTTCAGAGACAATAAACTGCAGGGAGGAGACGGCCCTCCTTTCTGAGAAGCAGCTGGTGGCTTCACGCCCTGGACATGCAGCGCCACTCCTGGGCCACTAGGCCACCAGGGCTCCCTAAGGTTTGGTTTTGTTTTTTTTAATTTTACTATTTTGTGTGCGTGTGTACCATCAAATCGAATCTGACTGGTACAGGAGGAGAGCAGAGTACCTGGTGGATCAGGGCTCCTCAAGGTAATTGAAGTCTAACAACTGCATTTAATACAGTGGTATTTTACTTGTGTAGTACATTTGTGATTAAAGTCTTTCGCTCAATTAAAACTTGGTGCTCCTATTAAATGCCTTCTGGTTGACTCTAACTCACAGAGACTCTGCAGGACAGAGCAGAAATACCTTTCAGAGTTGAGGCTGACCCACACCGCGGCTGGTGGGTTTGAACAGCAGACCTTCTGGGCCAGCACCTAGGTGCTTAACCAGTGCACCGCGAGGGCTGCCTTTTCACAATCGAACGCTTGCCGTGTGCTGCTGTAATACAAACACCACGAGCGCCTGCTACAACAAACACCAACGTCTTCTCGCGCTGCTCAGGAATCCACATGTCCAAACCCAGGACACAGGCTCCAGGGGAGGCCTTCTCTCTGGGACACCCCTGGGGAAGGTCCCTGTCACCTCAGCTTGTTTCTGGGTTCCTGCGGCTCAATACCTAACCCACCTCCCCATCTCTGCTTGCTCAACCTGCTCCTTTTATGTCCTGTAGGAGATTGACTCAAAATACACTCTGCTCCTGCCATCAACATAACAAAGACACCTGTTCCCAAAGGGAAGGGCAAGTGCAGGCAGCAGGCTCCGTGCACCGCCATCCTCCACCCCAGTCCAGCCGGGGTCCATTCTCCACCCTCCAGCCTGGTCCAGCTGGCCAGGCTCTTGTCCATCATTCTCCCACAGATGCAGCCTTTCGGCGAGCAGCCAGCACAACATTTATGGACAAAGCCATCACTGCACCCCATTACAGACAAAGAGGTTAGGACTTCCAGCACTCGCTTTGAGGGGTCACAATTCCAGCCACAGCAGGGACCAACTGAATGTGGCTAAGTGCTCAAGCTGATGGCTGGATGAGGACGTGCAAAGGACGAGTGGCATTTGGTCCATGTCCTGGTAAAATGAGGCTGTCAGTAGGAAACTGCCTCAAAGGCAGGTCAGCTCACCAGTGGTTGAGGTAGAAAGGCGGGCAGGCCATCTCCTCAGTGCGATTCACAGCCTCCCAAAGACCTGAGGAGGGTCCGCGAGGAGCTGGGCCCTGCCTGACAACCATCAATGACGGATCCGTTTCACCACACTGGGTTTTTTTTTTAGAATTTTATTCTTTTGTGTGTGTGTGTGTACCATCAAATCGGATCTGACTGGTGGTACAGGAAGAGACTGCCCCTCCTTCTCCAGCAGAGGATCTGGTGGATTTGAACCTCACCCCTCTGGGATTGCAGTGCAGCTTCTTGCCACTAGGCCACCAGAGCTCTCTTTACCACATTCTTTAAAGTAGTGGATTCCTTTGTCCTCTGTGCATTATCCATCTTCCCATAGGGGAACTCTGGAGGCACAGTGGGTTATGTGTTGGACTGTGAACCAGAAGGTCAGTGCTTCAAAGCCACCAGCTACTGAGCAGAAGGAGGAACGCAGTCTATTCCCGCGAAGACCTACAGTGTCAGACACGGGAGTCTGAACTGGCTTGACAGCAGGGGTTCTTCTTGTTGTTTTTAACCATAATAATTGTTTTTAAGTAGTTAAGTGACATTGGGGTGTGGAAACAGAATCTGGGGACGTTCCTTTCTTATTCTGGGACCATACTTTCAAGGTACCATTACAGAGCATGTATTTCTCTCCAGGATACGTAACAGACAGTGTGGCCAACACCCGCTCCTCCATCTGAGAGCCCGTCCTCTCCGGCTCCATCTGTTTGTCCCTGGTAATTTGTATTTATATTTAGATCTCTTGTTGTGTGGGTGTGAGTGGTAGAATTATGGAATCATAATTGTCTCAAGCTGCAACTTCCAGGAACGGAATTATTTAATATTGGGCTGGTTCTTAAAAGCGGACTTCTTCAAAGGAGATTGTTTTTTCTGGAAACTTGCTAATTCTAAAAGGCATCCAGACACTGACTCTGCCATTTGACAAGGATGTGAAGGAAAGGAATGCATCCCAAACACGCGCCTGTCCTGAGTGAAGACAGGCCTTCTGGAGGCCAGTGTCCCCCGCGGGAAAGGACCATCACACCCCAGCAGTGGTGCGCACGGCAGGAACTGCCCGGCCTCCTCGTCTGCTTCTCAATAGTTATGCATTCTCTATTGAACCGTGGCCCCCAAAGACACGTGCCACCTGACCTTGACACTGTGCAGGTGATCCTATTTGAGAGAGGGTCTCTGAGGATGTTCTCTGTAACTACGAGGTCATACTAAGTAGGGTGGGTCCTGATCAACACGTTAAGAGTCCTAGGCTTAAAAACAGAGGTAAGAGACAGGCACACAGAGGGAGAGCTAGCCAGGTGCAGGCAGAGGCAGAACTGAAATCACAGAACACCCCCGCCAAGGAAAGCCCGGGGCTCCCACCCTAAGAGAGGCCAGGAGGAGCATGGCCCTGCCCACACCCCAGGAAAATAAATCTGGCCCACCAGTCCCCACAACTGTCCATGCCTGAGGTCTCAGCCACTCACCTGTGGTGATTACTGCAGGCCCAGGAAACGAATAAAAAAGTCAAAGAAGGAAGACCAGTTGCTGCTGAGTTGATTCTGACTCAGGTTGACCCCCACCTGTGGGAGTGGTCAACGTCCTCATCTTCTAACCAAAAGGCAGGAGGTTCAAATCCACCCAGAGGCATCTCAGAAGCAAGGTCACTCTACTTTCCAAGA